TTTTTGTTCCTCCCATTTCTGGGGCACCGAATAGGTTGAGTCCACCTCCTCTTCCCAGTTGTCTTCTCTACTCTCCATGTTATTATCCTTAATACTTGTCTCAATTTTGAGTTTTTCACGTCTTGTCACATTAAAATGTTTCAATCTATTCCCTATATCAAGAATTTTTACCTCCCTTTCATTTCAATTTTATTGCAACAAATAAGTCATTTCCTTTTTGAAATACACCAATCTAAATCAGTGCTGCAAATAACCGTTTCCTGACAGTGAGTATACTGCCCTGCTATCACAGTCACAGAGCGGTATTTTATTAAATTGACTAGGAAAAATAAGCACTATAAATTTGTGAGGTTTTAAACTTCAATTAAGCCTATAAGAATTATAATAATTCCCAGGCCTATTTATGAGAGCGTATTTCATTTCTCATCTTAGGTTGGGCCGGGTGTGGTGTGGGGTGGGTGGGGAGGGGGGTGCAACATTGAGCCTCTATGTTGAAAAATTCAAATTCTGTCAGCCCCCTTATTTATCAAATTTAGCCAATGCGGTTGCTCATTCTGCTTACAGGGTGTGCGCCGATGGGCGTTGAACCCGCTAAAACCTGGATTTGCTGAAGTGCACGTCACCTACTTTACTCCCAGGACATTCAATCAAACCTTGAAATTCTTTTGCATTTATTGACATTCACTAATGCTAGTATTGTAACGCGCGAATTAAGTTCATCAGTAATTATTCACATGTTAGAGATGCTACAACTTGCAAGTAGAAAGTTGCGTCTCGGTTTCCAATAGCTTAAATTGACAGATTCCTATTGAAATTTACATTGTGAATGCGAAGTGTGCAATAGACCTACCTCCACGTGGTGCACCCTGGGCATCGTATATTCATAGGCCAAAAAAATCTATAAACTGGCAGTTGATTTCAAACTACAATGACCAGACTGCATGTCATATTTGACCACTTTCACAGTACTCTCCTTACCTTAACTTTTTCTCTACCATTGTGTCCGTCTCCATTACCTCTTCTGCTCCATCCCCCCTCCCGATTTTTTATGACTTTGAAGTTCCTCCTCTTTGTGAAGCCCGATGTCGACTAAAGGGATGATGATGATGTAAAAACTAACAAAAAGTCTGACATTTGATATAAATAAATAATTATATTGCGGCTGTCTGTTATTAATGGGATAAATTCTGAGTGAAAGTAATACATTGTGGGTGGTTGGTGAGTAGGAAGTTGAGGTATGTCTGTAAACTGTGCCAAACTTGACTGAGATAAATGCCGGCAAGTTCAGACGTTGCTTGTGAAGTTATGTTTTTGGCTTGTTCACGCCTTGTACACTCAGGCTTATAAGGAAAACTGATCACGTCAACTCACTCACATGAAGGTAACGTGCACGATATTATAGCCCACCAACTGTCCCTTTTTGTGCCTTCCACTCTACATTGAATAATTTTTAGACTTTAAATTTAGTAAATTTGACCCAAATATCGGTTTGGAAAAATGGTGGAAAAAGATTTTATTTACAACCAATAATAACGCTTGCACAATCTGCTCTATTGGGGTAAATAGACATAAAAAATGCATAAACATCCCTTATTTATATCACCCAGACTTACAAATAAGATTAACTAGTTGTTTTTGTTCGTTATTGAAAACGGGAAAGTAAACATCTCAAATATTTGGAAATTGTACTAATTGCAGTTTTCTTGAATGTTTGTCTTTTTTTGTTAAATAGGATAAACACTAGCAGTTATAGGGTGCCCCCCAATCTTAATTTAATTAACCTATGAAGGATACAAATGTAATAAATGACTTAGACCAAACCAAGATAGACCAGTTGATTAATACGCCTGTGTTGCGCTTGGATTTAATTGGAGGTAAAATTGTACTTTACAGTGGCTATTAAGCCATAAATTCACGCATGCAATTTGCTTTCATCTTCAAGTAACACCCACAGACTTCGAAATTGGCGTTTAGTGAGTTTTCCTGGGTGGCCAAGATAAAGGTAGTCCTGTGTGTGAATGCAGAAAGTCAAATAAATTTTATTTCCCATTTTTGAATGATAAATAGAGAATATTACGAATAAATAACTACTGAAATTTTGATCGGTCACCACGAGAGTTACTATTATTCCCTCCGAACTTCAGTAAGCCAACTCAACGCGTCCATTTTATATTTGCCGAACTGGGATGTGCGATAGACTTACCTCCACGTGGTGCACCCTGGGCAAAAAAGTCTATGAATCGGCAGTTGACTTCTGACTTCAAATTACCATATTCCACCACTTCCACAGTACTCATCTTACCTTCTTCTCTACCTTTGTGTCTGTCTCTTTTACATCTGTGAGTCACTCTTCTGTTCCCTCTCTCGACTTTTTGTGACTTTGATATTCCTCCCCTCTTTGAGGCCCGAAGTCAGCTAAAGGGCCAATGATAACTATCGAAATGCCTGCCATTTGATATAAATAAATATTTGCCGAACTCTGCTATGCTAAACATATCGTTTGTTTGTTCTTGCCTATAAGAAGGCAAAAAATATGATAAAAGGTGGCATGAGACGTTTTGCAATTAAAGCAGTTTATACAACCTGAACATGGAAAGTTTAATATTTAGCTCAATTAGAGTTTAAATAATGTGGAATCTGCATAATTCCTTCAACCATGCTCTCCATATTGGAGTATTCTGTTGACTCCTATGTTAGAAAGCTTTCCCTTGATTAAACCTGGTAAAAAGCACCCCCCCCCCCCCCCCCCCCCACCGTCCATGAGATTTATGAAAATGAGTAAAATAAACTCTTAGGGCAATTGGTTATTGTTGTGATTTAATATCAAATGACGAGAGAGAATAGAGGCAGATTGGTTATACTAGACTCACAATTACCTCTAACATGGTTTAAAGTGAGTAGTTGTTTTCCACATTGAAGGTGCATATTCTAATTATGCGCTCTCGTCGTGTGGTTAAATGTGACATTATTATCAAATGTGAATTTGCTTGTATGAAGTATTTTGCCACTAACACCTATTGTTCATGTATGATATCAGGCATTTAGCTAATAAATGCTGTTTCATGAATTAAAAGTTACATTATTTTATCTGTTTCTAAGTATATGGAGTTGAGTTGATGTGAAGTTTAGTCAAACGCTCATTCACTCCTCATTCAAAGCAGCTGTTACCTTATGAAGTAGAAAGGAGGTGACAATTAACTTAAACAATAAGCGTTTTGGATCATAGGTACTAAATGATAGAATATTTGGTTAGCCAATAATTGTGTTGAAATGAGCTCCTTATTTATGGTCTTAGATATATCACGTTGTTAGGGCAAAAATATCAAATAATCTACAATCTGATGAAAGGAAAAAAGAATATAGATAGTTCTTTTGAGTTTGCTAATAATATTCGTCGTGGCTTTAAACCTATGAATTTGAAACTTATTGTCAGATTCGTTTTGCCAGTATGACAAAACCCCTTTAATGAATCAATTATCTATTTCATCTAAAATATTGCAGAATGTAATATATACTGTGACGAACCGGGTGTAATAAATTATTGATTGAACAAAACTAATTACCATCATTTTCTCGACAACCATCACTTTATACACAAACATCCTTGAAAGCGCAATGTCTAGTCCTCGAAGAATACCAAACACGGTAGACCTTCATATTACAAGGAGAATAAAATACGGTTAAAATTCACTCGAAATTGGAGAAAGTAATGTGGACACGACTTCCTCTATTTAAGTAAAGCATTAACTATGATCTCAAATAATCAATTTATTGATTATTTATTAGCAAGAAAACACACGCACACACGCACATAAATATATAACTGCGTGGTAAAAATTTAAATTTTTCCATGAAAGAGATAAAAATTTCCCATTTTGTTGAAACACAAAATTAGTGTCATTTGAAAATATTTCTTAAACGTAACTTCCTTCTTTGTTTTTTTGTACTAAATCACAGGCCAATTAAATCGATTTATTCTATTTACCAGACGTTTTGAATCCGACTCATGTTTAAAATTTTCTTTCGTTCTTTCCCCTAGTTCTTTACTTCAGAAATGTCACTTAGACTGTAAAGAGTATTTTTATCCTAAAGCGTATGCATATATAATTGCATTGCGATAGCGTGACCAACATCTCAATTCATCTTCATTTGCCAGTCAAGTCGAAAAATACGCTAAAAAATAGAAACTCCTAAAAGAGCAGTTGACTGAGTTTTGGAAAGTTTAATTATGAAATAGGGGGTTCGAATAATTAAGAATGTTGTAGGCTTTATTTCAACCAACTCAGCAATTTCATGAATCAAGGCTCTTCGTATTTTACAACTCATCCTCTAACTCAAATTCTAATCTTTTTGATTTGACCCAGGTTTTGATAATTTTTAATATTTCCTTGTAGAAATAGGGGTGGGGGTGGTTCAATAGTTGAACAATGGCAACTGTCTATTGAATTCGGTAACATATTGCTAAGTAACGCAACTTGGTTTAAGAGATTTTAAGTCCTTGTATGCTTTAATTGTCGTCATGTGTCTATCAACCTTTGAATGTCTGCAAGAAGGAATCATGATCTTACCCAGAAAATTAAGCTAAGGAAGATTGAGATACTATCGAGTGCATTTTGGCAGATTTGAAAAAAGTTATAGCTTATGAGTTTGAAAAACAAATGATCAATAATTTTTACGCGACTTTGGTATAAATCATAGAGTCTTATTTCCGCTTAACAACCCTGTTATTTAGCTTTCATAAGTAAAATGAAAATAATTCAAATATGATTGAACTCAATAATTAAACAAAGGAGTCATGATTTTGGAGAATGACAAGCATGTTGGAACCGTGACTTCATGATAATGACATGGCGCAAAAATGTGACGATATGCATCACCTCCTCCAACTGTTTCTATTTGCAACCACACATTGCACCTACCTCGTCTGCTTCCCTGATGTGTCTGCAAAACCACCACCACCTCCCCTCCCATAGAGGGAGTGCGAAAGAAGACTTTGCGCCTTAACGCGTACACACGCACCACAGCACACCAGACCAGCCTATATCTCGGTCGCGCATCGTAATTGGCTGAGGTTGCAGATCTGCTTGGCGAATAACTGGGCGCCAATCACAGTGGGCAGCCAATTGGATCGCATGAATGTGACGGCGCGTGGGTCGTCGTCGCGTCAGCCACGCCTGACAAGGCAATCGAAGGTCGAGAGATACCCTGATGTATTCTTTAACCTCTTCCGTCCATTATTCATCCACCAATTCATCACCATCCTAATGCTACTGCCGCCACAATACTGTATTTCCTCAATGATCTGGGAAATTGGTGATTAATATTTCCTCCCTGTGCTCATTTATGGTGGCGATTTGATCCAAAAGGATGTTGATTTTCTATCACCCCTCCTTGCTATTTTCAAATATTGCGGATTTACGCCTCCTGATCCATGTCTTCCTATTATTTCCTTTCTGTTTTAACCTCGTTCAATCTCAAGAGATCGGTATGTGATTTTCCAAAATTACTCATTTTTCTTGCCCTCTATTCTATGAATAAGTAAATTTTTACAACAATGACGGAAAATTTAACGTCTATGTGGTTTAAAATTAGCTTAAACACTCCTACTAACTAGCATTTGCTTCATTAGAATATGTCAACACGCCACTATCTGCTACAACATGCATTTATATCTCAACACTGACAACGTTAGTATAGATCCGGTATCTGGAGGTAGTTTGAAAAAATCATCAATCATTACAGGCACGGAGCTCAATTTAAGTCATCATAAAAGTAATTACAAACTTATAGGAAATAGGATAAATGAAAAAGTATCTTTCGAATGTCTACAAATTAGTTGATTTATAAGACTGGTGTCATAATATCAAATCTGATCTTCTTTCCTCGGGCAGGAGAAAAGTTTGGAAGTTAGCGCACAAGTCCTCACCTACTATACGTTTCACTCGAACAATTTTGCAATCTCTTCGTACATTTCTTTCGAAACCTTTTGAAAGAGGGGTTGGCAGTTTCAGTGCAATATTTTATTATTATTATTATTATTATTAGAGGAATGGATGTTCAAGGGCTTTCAACTTAACGCAGATTGCAAATGTCAGAGGAATTGTAGAAATAGTTTAACTTAATAATTTTAAACCACACCGTTTCAGTTGCTTTAAGAAATGACATTTAAAATTCCTGAAAATTAGGAGTTCGAGTCCTTTAAATTATACATTAGTTTGCAAAACACTTTAAAGCGTCATGTGCCAAATTTTTGCTTAATCAGCACCATCATAATTATTAATTTTACTCAATATATATATATATATATATATATATATATATATATGTATATATATATATATCTGTATTTTTCATTAGCTCTTTTTTCGTGAACTAGAGTAACTAATTTTGCGCTCATAATCCTAATGAATGGTGCTTTAATGGTTAGTCATAAGGAATTCATCATTTATTAATGGGAAAGTTATTTGCACCCAACCCCCCCCCCCCCCCCNCCCCCCCCCCCCCCCCCCCACCACCACCCCCCACCATTTTCATATTATCAACATTTATATACTTAAACTTTTCAGTGCTTATTTATTATTTGGTATTATACTTAATTATGTATAGGATAAATAAATATATCGTTTTTGAGCTGATGTAAGAAATTTCTGATCGCGAAAAATTCCTCCCTATGACAGGCCAATGACAGAATTTGTAATTCCTGATTGGGAATACCTATACTCCTGTAAATTATTTTAGTGAAAATCGAATTGCGCTGTGATGAGGTGAACTTTCAACTGTCAACCAATCACGGCATTCATCCGACGATGTAGACAGAACGAAATAATGGCCAAATTGTATCATGACTCTTAGTGAGCAGTTCGTCAAGTCAATAAGCATTTAAATATCACCCCCTCCCTATTTGGTACTCGACGTAAGGCCATTTTAGCCTTGAGTTGAGCTGTTGTTAATGTTTATAATGCGAAGAATGCTCTGTATTAGTCTAAGATGGTGTCTTTTGTTGCTCTTTAAAACATTCCTTCAATTTGGGGTTCACAGTGAAGGGGAGCTATTTCATAAACTTTTTAATGAACTTTTTAACTTTTACTTTATTCCTTTTAGATTCTGATTACAATTAGTAACTATGTATGCGTAGTTCATATTGACCACTGCCACACAATCACCTGCAGTTTTTTATCGTTTCATAAGTGCTACTTAACTTATTGCAGAATGACTGATTTCAGCCTATGTTCTCGGATTTTCGATTATTTCTACTATTTAGTTAAGATATAGAAAAGGCAGTGAAAGTCGTGGGGCTAGCCTGTAGGATTTTTGCTTTCTTGTTTTCCTATGTCTCAGCGCTAAAACCATGGTAAATAGCTTGGGGTGGGGGGGGGGGGGGGAATGAATAACCCTACGATGAGTCATCCATTCATTTAGGTTGTTTATTATCCTCAGATGTAGGCAGCAAATATATACACTGCAAGTATGTTCTCTCTCTCTCTTGGAGAAGTTGAACGCAGAAGAAATAAAATTTGGTTCATTGTTTGTTCAATTGTGAAATAAGTAGTTATATGCAACCATAGAAACAATGATTGAGCACTGTTATTAGTATTTGTTTGTTAGATTTCATTTTTAGTGAACGCCGTTCCTTGAGATCGGCAACAGTATGTTAATGCAAATCAATTAAAATAAGTAAGGAGTTGAAGGTCACTTGAGTTCGGTCAGTGATCCTGGAGTCATGAAGGGACACTTTTAGTTAGCGCTCATTTTTTGATTATCTGCCAAAGTTCAACTCAGTTGGAAAGTTTCAACTTATTCTAGATCTCCTCGGATTATAATATGCTACCGGGTCATAATTGGGTGGCAATGCTTACAATGCAGAGTGATTAAGGGGCAAAAATTAGGAGTATAAAAGATCAATAAAAGTTACCAAGGACTACCTAGTATCGGAAAATTTGAGTATAAGTGGCAATGAGAGTTGAGAATGACCGTTTTTCTTTGTTGGTTGAGTGCCATGAGATAAAACAATGGCTGTAAATGACACTTACAATAACAAAACAAGCTCTTTCCAGAACAACCAACCAACCAAATCCCCCATATCACAACGGTTATGTGTTAAAAAACCATTCATTACTGCTTAAAGCAATTTGTTTAACAATCAAGATAGGAGCACAAGAAATCCCAATACATCATTTCCATTTAACGACTAATCCAACCGATCTCCCATTCTGTTGATATCATAGGATGCCTAAGAATCCTCTCCACACTTGAATGCCAAACAGCTAAAATATTTGCTATTTTGCTATTTGAACGAAGAATAAAAAAATAATGCGTGATGCAAAGTTTAAACTACTACGAAAGGTGGTAAATGCCATGTTTCTGAGTTTTGCACGACGAATTTTATCTTCATTTACATCTCCCTGAACATCTTTTTTCCCATCTTCGCATTTGAAGAATTGGTTTTGCCGACTTTCAATTGTCCTAATAGCTGGAGATACAATCTTGAATGCATAAAAACTCATGGAGTTGTCTTTTCAGCATTTTAGCTTGCTTTAATCAACTCTCACTATTTGAATTATCAAAAGACAACTATAGAGGAGTAAGCTATTGATGTTATTTCTTGAACAATGTTCCTATCAAAGTAATTAGATTTCTGTCTGTTTTACATTGTGGGGCAGCAACTGAAATCAGTTGAAAGAATGCAAAGCCAAAAAAGATCAAAAAGACACACTGAATGCCACGATGAGAAGCCAGAGAAACAACTACAATTGATTTTAGTGATTGGCCTATACAATATTTGCAGAATGGTTAGGTCACATGCATAAAATCAAATTCATTGAATGCTTTACTGAATTGCAGAAAAGTCAGTTCCCCCCCTAATTATGACGACTGATCTTGTCACTGTACATTTCCTTTCTTACAACATTTGGGAAGACAGAATGATCTAGTTTAATGTCTAAACAGCTTATAATCTCAGGGCATCAGACACCTAAAAGCTGTACTCCTTCATTTTTAAAGTCCTTAAAAACTAAAATTTATTTCAGCAGCAACTCAGTTAACATATTTCTTATTAAAAAGAGTACATGTGATTTAGCTTACTGTAATTGCAAATGCCAATAAAACATAGTGACGTAATAAGTGAAATTGAAAAAAATAGTTTCACTACTACTACTAGACAAATGGTGGCAATTCCAAGGCCATTCTTTGAGTTTTTATTTAGAAAGTGATATTTTAGCCCGCTTTTCAGTGTATTCACAAGAAAGAGCGCCAATACTGCTTCTAATAATTAAAATTAATTCATAAGGGAATTTGACATATTTGAGAATTCAGAAATTAGGTCTGTTGACCCTCTAGTGACAACAACATTACAATTATTTCAAATTTTTCTCCTTGAAGCTTGAACTATTTCTCTGATTTGTTTGAACTAAAACAATGCTTATCCCTAGGACTAGAGTTAAATGTCACATTAATGGTGTGTCTGCGCTCTAAACCAAACGCAGCTAACAAGTTCAGTTTCCAAACCATGTAGAAGCATTCAATCACGCTCTCTACTAGTAATAAAATGTAAATAGGTGGTGAATGGTGAAAATGGACAGGCATATGCCAAGATATCAACTATATTCTCATGGCTGATTTCACCCCTTAGAAATTCAAACTTAATGGCTCATCTCGTGAGTCAATTTTGCTATAATAACATATTTGGATCAGGGAAAGTTAAAATTTGCCTTGACCATTCTGCAAAATATCATGAATTAGCACATAGGTTCACAGTGGGGGGGGGGGCAAGTCACACCTGATTGGAAAGACAATCAAAGAAAACACGGCCACATTTGGGCCTCCATCATACTCATGTCCCGGTTTCAAAGGGCATTATCTCACAGTAGTTAATATGTACATGGGCTTAAAGAAATTGGATTTGGAAATATAGTTATATGATACTTCATGTGGCGATAAATTATATTCTCCAAATCAACAAAAATGAGCCTAGAATACAGTAAACAGCACCTCCCTAGAAAAATGCAAATATGCCAATGAGCTCTGAATAGGATATTGGAATCAGTGCGAGGGGATTAAATGGTTATCACAACAATACTTCACTAATTCCTTTCTCCAGAAAACTGTAGGAAATGTGCCTGGAAGCATTCTTAAAAGTGAAAGCGTCAGACAATTTAAAGGTCATACTCAAGACTATCTAGTGAATCATTTGGTGACTCAGTGTAAATGGGCATAGAGTGACTCACATAGAAAACGAGGTTAAGCCGTCCTTCCACATAATCCCACTTTCAGAAAATCTGTTCATTTGAGTAAACCAACTCTCCTTCTTCTGTGATCATCCTGTTTGCCAATTTCCCATTTTAACTCTGAATCACCTGACATGGGAAAGGCTGCTGCATCGTTAGACTTGAGAAGGAATGTCTCGCTCAAATTATAAAAGCACATTCACTAGGATTTAGGCTGAATTATGCTAAATATATATATATATTTCATATTTATTACTCGTCGGATATTGT